AAGCTCACCCCTAACCCATCCCCCCCAGCCCCACATCTCAACAACCTTGAAACACTCCCATGGATGGGGACTCAACCACCTCCCCGGGCAGCCTGTGCCAGGGTCTGACCGCTCTTGCCGGGAAAAGATTTTTCCTAACGCCTGGTCTAACCCTGCCCTGGTGCAGTTGGAAGCCGTTCCCTCTGGTTCTGTCGCTCATTACCCGGGAGGAGAGACCAGCCCCAACCTCTCCACAACCTCCTTGCAGGTACTGGTAGAGTGAGGAGGTGTCCCCTCAGCCTCCTCCTCTTCAAACCCAACAGCCCCAGCTCCTTCAGTCGCTCTTCATCAGATTTATTCTCCAGGCCCAGGTATTCTCCACCCCCAAGACAACTCTGGACATCCGTTACACACCCTCCAGCCTCGCAGCATTTTTAAAAAAAATTTCTCTTTCCTCAGCAGGAGCAACTGCACCAGGAGATGCTCCACCTGCAACAGGTCTCCGAGGCACGTGATGTCCACAGAGCACGGGTGGAGGTGGATAAACCTCACACACCCCAGTCCCTGCCAGCGCCGGGACAGGTTGGCTGCACTGCCTCGTCTTTGCCCATCTCCCACCCCTGCTCTGGCTGCACGTACATCATTGAAGTGTTTTGTGTTCTTCATGATGTAAGGAGTCCTTTCGTTCTTCTCCAGCTTCATCCAACCTTGCCCGAAGAACTCTCTGCAAACGACAGCATTCAGGTCAACATTAATTTCCCATTTTTCTGGGACGCCCAAGCCCTGCAAGCTCCTCTGCGCCCACATGGGATGGAGAAGGCAAGGTCTTCGTCCCTGACGTTGCCAGAAAGGGACCACGCGGATGCTCTCCTCGAGCTGGGAGAAGCCAGCAGACAAACCAGCAGATAAACCACAGGGTCAGGCTTCAAACTTGGGCTTGAGCCCAGCCTGGGCTCGCTGCAAAGCAGGCAGCAGCAGGGAAGGCTTTGCACCCTCTGAGTTAATCCTGGGCCGGGCTGGCTGCAGGGAAGCGGGAGGCCACAGAGCCCTGGGTGAGCAGAACAGCCCTTCCTCACCCGGGGGGATCACTCACTCGTACGGGATCTTCTTGAAGACGAGGTGATCCAGCAGCGTCAGCTGTTCTGCGATCTCCAGGGCCGAGTGGTTTTCAAAAGGTTCTGCTTTGACTCCCTCAGCCTGAGCAACAAAGGCAACAATGAGAGCTCAGCTGTTAAGAGCAGAGTAAGAACTTCTACGTTTCAGGCACGGAAAATCAAAGCCAGACTCCCAAGCCAGAGGCTTTTCCCCACTGGAGTCAGCGTGTGTGGTGCCACGCTGGTCCCAGGGTGCAGAGGCACCACATCCCACAACGCACGGAGAAGCGCCGGCTCCACGCAGCCCTGCCAACCCAACCGTTTTAATTATCTTATCATCTGCGCACATGTACAGACACAAAATTAACTAATCGTCACTATTTAAGTAATTAGGTGTCAGCTACGGAACAGATCCCCGAGCACCAGCTCCTGCAACCGCTGCCTTTTTTGCTCTACATCTCTTTAATTAATAAAGCTCAGGGATCCCAGCGGCGCTGCCAAGCTGCTGCCACGTGCCTGGATACCCCTTCCCGGCACCTTAGAGGTCTTTACTGACCTTGGTGACTCTACGATTCCTTTTCGGGGCTCAAGGGGCCACGGAGAGGCTGCAAGGGGTGGGTGCAGGCTGGGGGGGCGCAGGGTGCAGGGCTACACCCTGCCAGAGCACGGGGTGCTGCTGACAGCAAGTGCCACCAGTGCCACCAGCGCCACACGGGCAGGCTCTGAGGGGTAAGCACAGAGCACGATGCACATCCCCGGCTCACAAGGAGGGGAACCCCCAAACCCCCCGTGTGTACCCCAAAATCCAGGGCTCCCTCATGTCCCCACTGTTCCTCCGACCACAGGTCCGTGCCCTTCCCTGGTGTTTTCCTTGAAGTCCAGCTGCTCAGACTGAAACCCTCTGGTTTCATTTCTCCTCTCCTCTTCAAAGGGAGTTTCCAGCACTCGTGGTTACAGACAAAAGGTTAAACCCCCGCAAGGGGCCTCAGCAGCTCCAGAAGCCGCTGGCAGACCCTGGGGACAGGGACGCTGTTGTTTCAGGTGCACCAGGCCAATCTGAAGTGGCTCTTGGGCTCTTCTGGGAGCAGAGTTTGAGGGTTTTTTAAATGCAGGAAGGCGGTGAATGCACCGCAGCCACCCCGACAGTCTTAAACCCATTGCACGTTCCCCCAGCTCTACCCCTGGGGAAGAAGCACTGGTGCTCACCAGGCCAGCACCCGTCACTTGGACCCTGGTGTTGTTTGGGGACATGGGTGACAAAGCGGAAACCAACGGGCTGTTCCTGCATCCCTCAGGCAGGCACATCTCTGTGGCCACGCCAGCCACCCTGCCGATGGTGCAGGAGGAGGCCAGCGGGCTGGGTGAGCGTTGTCTCTGCCGATGACAGATCCAGCTGTGCTCACAGCTGGCCCCATCCCCAGGAAGCCTCTCCCTGCTTTGCAGCTCG